CCTTAATGGCTTTCCAACTTTTACATTTGGTTTACACAATAACCTTGAGTATAAATTGCACCCTCACTTCAGTTTTGCTTCATGTTTTCGAAGAAGAAAGAAGGTAAGACAAAAGTAGAAACAAATGCATCGGATGAAGCAGTGAATGAATGCATGTACGACTGTGAAGTGTCACTCTTATTTCTGCTCTCCAGGTTTACAGGGTACAAGTGAGACCCAGGGATCAAACCATGTGCCTGTGTAAATCCTGTAATTTACCTCTGATCAAAAACACGTTAAACAGCAGTCATGTTTCCACCACATGACAATCAGCCTGGCGAACCAAAGAACAGTACGCCATCCTTCACCAAACCACAACCTCCACTACCTCGGCCATTGCGGCAAAGCTTCTAACCGGCACTAGCTGATATTTTCTGAAGCAATGTCTTTTCTGTCATTGTATTCATGTGTCGTCTGTTAACGTTCACAGTGCACATCTACAATTGATCCATGGTTTGCAAACAGATTAAAATGGAAGCTTAATAGAACTGTTTTTCTGCAATTTATATCTATTTCATCTTTTTATTTATTCTTTTTGGCAGTGTGTAACATGTGTTGGATTTTAGCATCAGTCTAAATGTTCCAGGGAGGAGACATTCCTTCCTGGCTTTTAGATGTCAACTTCAATCCTCCTCAAACCCATAAGAGCAACACAAAATGAACAATAAACATCGGGTTCATCGAGGATTCATGACAAATTTTCAAATGACTTAGTGAAGACATGTGTCACACATCATCCTAAAAAAAACTATTTGTGTGTGTATGCACATGCCCATAAAACACACCTACACCTACACACACAGACACAAACACACACATTGAAGGCCATGTCATTCTATGGAAACTTGCTGCTGGTTCCAGGAAGTGAGACACTTGCTAAACCAGATACAGGAAGTCAACGTCCACCAAGTCATGGTGGAAACTGGGGGTGGAAGCTAAAAATATGACAGACCTGTGTGTGTACGTGTGTGTGTGTGTATGCGTTTGGTGTCTGTGATTTATGAACCTGTGGTCAGTAAAAGAATCCCATCAGGAAGCGATAAAAAGCTCTGAAAAAAACAATTTAATTTCTCTGTTTTTCAAAAACATGTTTGACTGCTTGTCCTCATTTCCCACATTCTTGTCTTGATTGATTTGTTTTTTATGTCATTTGGAACACAAAAGAAATCTTGGCTTGGCGTGCCAGGTTTGGTCCTCCAGAGAGCACACGGTTCTTTATTCAGGAGCTTTTAACAAGATGAAGTGTGTTATTCTCACTGGGCTCAATGTTAGTGTTGCAGAGGTGAGACAGTCGGCACGATGTAAGCAGCAGATAGGCGACCTCAGCCGCATGAAGCCTGTTTCACAAACTATTTATTTCCTGTCTCAACAGCCGCGGCTTTTCCAGTTTCATGTTTATGGAAGATGCCGCATTCAGGCAGAAAAGATCCAAACTACGGCCGGTTGCACCATTGTTATAGCTCACAGGTTGTTTTTTTCCGATTTGTTTTGTGAAAGCCGGAAGAGCTGATACATCACATGCGCGTTCGTTGTGAATCATTTTTGTTGAATCAACTAATTTAGTTCTGCGTCTGTTTTTTTGCTGTTATATTCCCTCCATCCAGGGCTGGTTGAATCCAGCATTCACTGCAGTTTGTTCCCAACGTGAAACAAGTCAACTATGTTTTTGTCGCGTAACTTTGTGTACTTTAGTGATGCCACCGCCACAATATTCAAAACCAAACAACAATCTTCCTGTTGTCTAACTGAGTGTTTCCTGTTAGGATGGAATTCTATTTCATTTTAGTTCATTTTAGTGGCAGACACTGAAAATAAATAACTACATAAAGTATATCATACGTCGCTGGGTTATGAGCAGAATGAGAGATTTGAAGAGAAGAATGAGAATGAGAATGATGAGATTTGTTATCCTTTATCTAAATTACTGACCACCATCTTCATCATGGTCCAAAAAGCATTCTCATCATCCACAATCATTATGAATAAAAACAAAAGCTCTTCTGGAAACGTCAGCCGTGGACGCCTTCTCTCTCCAGCACTGTCCTCATAGAAGCAAAACACATATACACACACACGCACACACACACACACACACACACACACACACACACACACACACACACACACGCACACACACACACACACACAAACACACACACACACAGACGGAAAGTTCTTATTAAAGCGTTGTTCACATTATTCTTGTTAATTTCTTGTTCCACTGTCACTGCCAGACAGTACGCCGCTACATTTATAGCCTGGAGAGTGTGTGTGTGTGTGTGTTTGTTCTTCTGCGTGTGTCGGCATGCATTTTAGTCATTTGTGTCTTTGAGTGTGTGTGTGTGTGTGTATCTGTTAAACTCCACAGCAAGTTGTTACATCTCCTACAGCCCTCAGACCACATCTGATCGCTCCCCGCACCCACTAACACTCTCCTATACGTTCATTTTCACAATAACAGATTTACTTGAACAAACAGATTGCTGAGGTCGCCGTTAAGAGGAATGTTTCCACACTGAGGCGACCAGAGACGCTGAGGCCCCTCGCGTGCTTTTAACGAGAAGCGTCAAGCAGAAAATGACCAACGAGGTCAGCACTCACTTCATTTTGTCAAGTTAAAAGTGATTCTATTTGAGGCATTGAGAAGCCTAAATGTGAGGTTCAATCCAAAGGGGTTGGTGATGAGCAGGTGTGGTTGTTAAGCTTTATCCTCCTAATCAAATTGAGCTGTTACGAGCACACTGAGGTGAACAAACAAAGAATCCATACATGCAAGATTCCTACTCTCCCACTTAACCCTCCCCTCGGCGCAGCACAAAAACCAAGCAAGAGGCCCACGACCCATCAGTTCAAATTCACACTACATCTAATGTGTTGAGAAAAATACACAAATGAGACAGATACATGACTCACACACACACACACACACACACACACACACACACACACTGCATGCGTCCACCTACGGAGACAACAAACAGATCTGTTGTTTGTATAACCAATCTGTTGCAAACTCTTCTTCTTTCTTTCTCCAAAGGCTGTTTTGGTGTCAATGGTTTCATCTATATTCTACTTCATTTTTCATTTTATGATAACAAAGTGACACATCACAGTTCCCTCTACTCACCTGCTAAGCGGCACACTGCCGTCAAAAATCTCCCCAAAAGCAGCGAGAAGTCAGACAGTTGCCCTAATACAACGACGCAAGGTAATCGGGAGGACAAATACTCATCAACTCTTCAACAGACATTTTTAAGATGATCTATAACCTTCAATTCCCAGACGGAGACGGTTCTCCGGGTTTGAACAAGATTGTGCAGGACGCTCAAGGCTACGTTTCATGTGTGACACACCTCAGCAGCTCGGTAGAAGAAGGAAGCTTTGATTTGAGCGGTCGAGTAATTGCACGTTTGTGACAGTGAGGCCTCAGAAGACATCAAGCTGTCAGAGACAACCCGTCTGTCCCATCGGCGCGATGACACGCCGTGCTACTGTATTCTGGCTGTCAGTGTGTGTTAACCGGTGACCTAAGGGTGCCGACAGTGGGTCCACTGTGTGTTGTGTAAATGTGTTTGCGTGTATGTCCTCAACCCCACATTTGTGCATGTCTTACTTTGTCACAAAAGGGAGACGCTTTTCATATTAAGAGCATGTGTTGTTTAAGTAGGTGCGCAGGACAAACTTCAAACACACTTATTTGTCCCATTTTACGACAATGCATTTTGTCTTCTTTTTGCCGGTACTGCTGCACCACCACCTGGATTTTCACGATATCAATAAGAAAATCCAACATGGCAAATTGTTAGTCCAATTCAAGTACTTCTTTAAATTGCCTTCCTTCTAGCAGTTTCCAACAACGGTTTCTTACGAATGCCTGTGTGAGAAACCAAGTTACCTGCGCAGCACCAGTCACTGAGTACAGATTCAAAAAGTGCGCTAATGCTTATTTCCTGATTCTAAACATAAAGTGATTTAAAGCTGCTTTCAAAGTAAGTTTTTTTTATTTTATTATTTTGGGCTTTTTGGGTTTTGTTGAGGCGGAATAAGACAGATGTGTTCACAATGTATGTTGAGAACAGAGACGGTGGACTTGCGACAGAACCCCCGGAAAGAAAGAGTCTCCCATCATGTCTCTTTTGTCCATCCGTTTTTATTTCTCAGACATGAATCTCAAAATATGTAGGAATTTGCCTTTACTGAATTTACGTTACAAACACCTCTGCATCTGTTTGTGTGTGTATGAGAGTGCATGAATGTGAATGTACACGGTGTATATCATCAGACAGACTCAGACACTTTTTATGAGCCCATCAAATCTCATTGTAAATCCTTAAAAACGCTGCAGCCATAAAATCCAAATTTACAAGAGAATTCTGGGAATGCATCTCCGCCTCTTGAAGATATCAATCATTTGGGTTACATTAGAAGTCAATGGGAGAGTGAGCTAAGTATTTTAATAATTTCCACACCTATGCTTATATACAAAGACAAAAATATAAAAGGTCACATGGTCAAATACGTGAAACATAATGTAGACACAAACTGATGTCGCAAAGCAAATTCTCAATTATCCAGAGAGACCTCAGTCGGATGAGTTTCTGTCTGCGAGGAAGCTGATTCATTATCATACCAACCGACACTATTTGCTGCTTTTATTTTCCCGCAGCGTGTCACTACATGTCCTTAAATTAACTTCACACACAAATAGAGAGGGGAGTGAAGGAGGGAGGCATAAAAAAGTAGATTCACATACTTCTGTCTGGGCTGTGCTGTCTGCACGTCTTCATCCATGTATTTGTATTGCGTGTGTGTCTGTGTGTGTCTGTGTGTGTCTTTGCCCCCACACCACCACAGGAAGAGTGGGAGAGCGAGAGTAGAGTTGGACCACGGAGCGGTTAACCTCATGACATCACGAGCTGCGAGCTGATTGGCTGCAGCCTGAGGCTGGAGGGTTTATAAGCCAACCAGGAGTCTCGCTTTCAGCATCAGCAACACACAGCAGCAAGCAACATCCAGGGAAACCCAGGAGATAAAGTGAAGAGCAACCTCGTCTGTCGGCTTCCTCCCACTGCCATCAAGGTAAGAATAAATACACACGAAATTGTATTTGCTAAGTGCGAATTTGGGTTTGAGTTTTTCTGCAGCACTGGCGGTGTAATGGTGGTGGGGGAAGTTTGAGTTTATTCAGTTGAACATTCAGTAAACTTGCAGTTTGTCTTTGGCATTTTAGAATATTTTTTTTATCATAGTGTGCACTAGACACTCAAATCCCCGCAACATTGGTTTGGATCAGGCCCTTTACCCACGTTCGGCTCGATGAAGACATAATGTCCCGATAGATGAAGATAGATGAAGGAACCTGAGTGACCTCCATAGATACCGACCTTGACTCAATCCAACACATTGGGAACAAACTGGGACGCCGTCTTTGAGGCAGACCTGGTCCCCCAGAATCAGTGTTGTATACTTTTGAGTAAATCCCTGCAGCCAGGTTGCAACATTTTGCAGAAAGCAAGATTGAAGATTAATATTCCACATTTACCATCTATGCATCTCTTCTTCCAGCACTGTGAATAGACTCAACCAAAAAGCTTATTTTAAAAACGGCACACAGCAAAATAAATAATATAAAAATAATACATTGTCCTAAAGGTTCAAGGCACAAGAGTTTTCTAACAAACTGAAACTTTATTTTGAGTTTTTTTCTGTAATAGGGTTACTAACCAAACTGACATCATTCTTGTAGAAGAATATTGGTTGTTCCCCATGAAAGTACTGCACTTTATTACATTTAATGATGAGTTAGACTTTACAGCTGTGTGAGTCCGCCTGTGATTGCTCAGAGGTAACGATTAGCTGATGATCAAAGCAGGAAGGGGAAACCGTGGGCGGCGGGATACTGAGCTCTGGATTGTCGTGTCACATGACCACGTCCATCCCAGACTAACCACCGTGACTAAATACACTGACAACGAGCACACGTGCTGATTAAATACCAGCACAGTCAACAGTGTTTTGATCTGAAGAAAGAGGTGGTAGACATCCTCTTATCAGAGCCGCCAGTCTACTTTTAAAAATAGGATTTGTGACGGTTGGTGGCATCCTGGTGGTCATGTGATCGGGTCTCAAAGTGTACGAAGCCCTTGCCAACGAGGAACCGAAGCTAGTATAGTTCTCTTTCTTTATAATGGTCAAACTCCATTCACAAAAAGTAGTTTTACCACACAGAACACGGGTGTGTAAATGTAGCATACAGATGCGACACTGGTATTAATATTCTCATACAACTCTTGGAAATAAAGGGAATAGGCAGGTTTCCCTTAAATGAGGAACTTGATGGTTCCTTGAACCACCACCCTCACCCTTGACCTAAACCCGATTCTTACCTGTACCCTGAACCCAGTTCCCCTCCGTGCAGCGCGGCCACTGGCCACGGACAGAGTTCCCATAATCTCCAGGTCTGAAACTTGAATTGGCCGTCTCAAAACCAGATGTACAGAAATACACGCACGCATACAGTCTCGTGGCCATGTGTCATGTTTCTGCTGCTCTGTGGCTTCCCAGTTATACCCTGACGAATTACACAGTATAGGAAGAGGCTACCATTAAAGATATATGCAGACTGCTCCTCCCTCAGCAAATATGAAAGAGAAGAGCTCACAGTAAGGGAGGGGATCACAGAAAAATAAATTTGTTTTTAAAGCTGCTATAAATATGATGCAATGCCCGTAGTAAAAAGAGGGATGCAAAAAAAAGTTAGCCGTTATTTCTCTTTGGTAAAAAGTACTCTATGGTGACAGTTACTGTTGCTGTGACTGTCAACAAATCCATCAACTGGTCCCACTAACAAGTATTGTGTTCTGCACCTAAAGCTGGACATACGTAAAGCCTGAGCTCCGTTGTTGTGCAAAGTCAGGATGGGCTATATATCAATCCCACATGCACCATCCTGGTGCTGCAAGTACTCACAAACGTACCAAATGTGTATGAACCCTCCGCTGAAAATAGTCCTAAAAAAAGATCATTTTACTGTGCAGAAGTCAAGTCATTCCTCAGAGTTATTGATAGAAATGTAAGATGGACTCGGGTTGTTCTAACTCTAGACCTGACGCTCTTAAATCCGCTCAAACCAAACACCACTCGTTCTAGATCATACCCGTTATTTTCTCCCTGACCAGAAACATCCCGTCTCAGAGTCGAATCACCAAAATTACATGATTTTTTTTTCGCTCTGATAACAGAGAAAATGTTTTACTGTGTCGAAATAGAGTTTCAGGGACACACAACCACTCGTTTAGGTCTATAATTAACAACTTGATGATTTCCTGTGAACTACCGAGGCCTCCGGAAGGGCCACTGCTTGTTAACGGTCACGTGACCACGCAGTCTTCAGTGAGGAAGCTGGCAGCTCCTTTCTTCTGTTTGACGTGCCATTGGGTTCCCTGTGAAATGGCCTCTGGACGAGTATTTCAATGTCGTTTTAATGTCTCGGCATCATCGTGCTTCATCGTTTCATCGTGTGACTTGAATCTCTCTGCTTGTCTCCTCATCCAGAAACCAAACTGTGACACAATGAAAGTGGCCGTGGTTTTCGTTCTGCTCTTCGCCACAGTCCTCTGCCGGCCGGTGAGTTTGTCTCCTTTGACGTTGTGTCACAGTTAAAACTTCAAGGATTACATTTTGACCGGAGCATAAAAACATTTTGACAAAGATTTTGGTTTGTTGTACGTATTTTTAATGGACTTTGTAAATAATTTTTATTTTTTAGGCGACAAAGGTTTCTGTCAGCAGTTCAGAGAGCTCTGAAGAAGTGGTGAGTAGCTAAAGAGAGAAAGAGACAGACGAGAGAGAGAGAGACTACCGCTCTGAATGATGTTGGTCTTGTCCACAGGATCAACCACCAGCAGATCAACCCCTCAGTCAAAAGGCGGCAGAGGTTCCTCAGTATCGTCAAGAACCTGCACAGGTAAAACAATCTATCGTTCATAGCTTTGTTCTACTGGTTACTGATGTCATCAGTTATCTCTGATTGGAGGACATTTTTAAAAGTAAGACGTGTTAAATACTGCAGGTGTTGGACTCCTGAGTTGCATTTGGGAAATGTAGGAACTATTTTTTTTGAGAACTGTTGAACACACATACAAAAAGAGCAGGAGGATGTTTTGAAGATGAATAATCCATTTTATTTTCATTTTATTTATGGTTAAATAATCAGATCCCGGGTCTTTTGCGGACTACATCCCTGGTGTAGTTTATGACTGTTTTTTCACGAATCGTTAACCAGGCGGCAACTGAAGCTGCAGAAGAAGTCACGGACCCGACTTCATCCCCAGATTCAGACTCTGACAACCAGGACAGTGAAGATAGCGATGATGATGATGATGATGATACAGAGGAGAGCGTGAGTGAAATACACACAGATAACACTGTATTACACTTACAAAATAGACTTTTCTCAAAACTGTTGTATGCTTTCTATAGCCTTTAAATATTTACTACTAATTATTTCAGAATAGCAATGTCTTAATTGTCACTGTAATATTTCCAATTTTGTCAATGGACAGGAACAGCAGCAGTTACTGCTTAAGCAATCGCAAACAATCTTGTGGTATTTCCGGACTTTTTGTTGCAAACGTAATCTATGAGAATATTTTGAAAAAAGACAATGTCAGCAATTTCCACAGGAAATTTCCGGGGGATCATTTCTGACGCCGCTCGCCTGACCTCGATGCTCAAAGCCCCCAACCACATATTCAATATAAAACTCCCCGACAGCTCACCTCCCACCTCCGTGTCTCCAGGAAACCGAGGAGGACGACACCAGTGAAAGCTCAGAGTCGGGCGAGTCCTCCACACCGGCTCCCGCCACGGTGGAACCCGTGACCGTCGCAGGCGACCAATTCACTGACGAGCCCATCCTGCCTACCATCGTCACCGACACCGCCCGCGGGGACAGCTTGGGCGCCTACCCCAGCGACCACAAGTCCATCGTTTACGTGGAGGACAAATCCTACCACAAGGTCCCCTCTCCCTACAAGTCCTACGAGTACATGGGCGCAGGAAAGAAGATGGCCTACGACATGACGGAGGGCAATGAGCTGGACAAGTCGGTGAAGGTGTACAAGGTACAGCTTCGGAGTCCAAATTAAATCCGATTTTACCTTTAGCTGCTATAGAATGTTGTCCTTAACTGTCTTATAGTCAGTGCTACTTTTACATTGTCACCAGAGCTGCTGCTTAAAAACACATGAATATACCAAGATGCAACTATAAAATGCATTGCGTAAACCTCCACCTCTGGATAAAACAAATCCTCCCATCCCTCCTCTGCCTCACCTCCAGGCTCTTCAGGTCCACAACGACCTCCTGGAGGAGGACACCAGCACCCCTGAGGTGGAGAGCCAGGGCCTCGACGCCTCTCAGGACCAGGACATCAGCCCCCGTCAGGCGTCCCTCCCGGAGGAGGAGACGACCACCGGAGACGCCGCCACGAGCGAGAGTTCCAGCGCTACGGAGGAGGAGGAGAATGAAAGCGCCGCCAGCGCAAGCACCAGCCAAGAGTCAGAGGCCGAGAGCAGCCAGAGCAACGAGGAGACCGCTGACAGCGAATCAGATGAGAGCGCTGGGAGTGATTCAGATGAGGAGGGGGCGGGACTTGACACCGCCACTGACCCGCCAGCGGTCCTCACAGCCAAATAGATCATATTTGCCTGAAGTTGGAGTGGGCTGTGGTCTGATCACGAGCACAAGCTGCATCCAGGTGTAAATCTCTCCATTCGAGCCACTTCCAACAGGGTGGGCAGGGGTGAGGGGGGGGGCAGACAGGGACCGCCAAACGTAATGATTATTGATATATGTGTTCACACAACATTTCTTTCATTATTTGTGCATCTTTCTGGGAAAGGAAAACCTTTTTCCTTCTGGGCTGTATTTAAATAAACCAATAACTCCATCCTGTGGTCTGGTTGCTCTGGTGAATCCCATGTTTGACCCTGCAAGGGAAAGTGGTTGGATGTTGAAACTGACGACTGCAACCTGGAGGGTTGACCGACCTCGTGACCTTTGTCCCTTCCCCTCTCCCCTCTGGTACTGTAGGGTTAAACGTCAATACTGGAAAACAACAAAGAAGAACAAAAAGTCTAGTCCTGATATCTACACTAGCACGCCACTGCATTTATCCATTACCTAATAACTGCAACATGCAAACCTACATTGTTTCTGTCCTAACAGGACCAGAGCCGAATGTTCCACCTATTTAAATACTTGTAAACATTTCAAGCATACACATATATCATTTAACCGTGTCATACAGTTGCTGCCTGTGTGGCTTAGCTTTGCTGCTTGCTATAGTATTCTGTTGGTATTGATAAACGGAGAGAAACACTCCATCACTGGGTGCAGTCGGGTATAAACACAAACACACATCCGGTTCATTTGCACAGCTACCTTCCTACACTACATGTTGTTTGTTATAATGTGTCATATTGTACCGTTTCTAAAATATGAATAAAGTTCTTTTTCATAAAAAGAGATGCTGGCTGTTAACATTTGTCTTATGTAAAGACCGGGAGTCTGACAACAAAGCAATGTATACTCATAAAAAACACAATACAAGACAACTAATTGAAGTTGACTAAAGGTAATCATTTTGATTATGTAAGGGCAATCAATGTCATTGTGTAATGGGAAAATGATATGTAACCCTTTTAAATGCTTCATTTGTATAACCAGTTTATTAGTTGCAAGTGCTTAGATCACAAAGGCCCTGACATAAGAACTGACGTCTCCCACTTGGATTAGATGTTTCCAGCGTCATAGCTGTAGAGATTGAACAAAGTGTTTGTTATGTCTATGACCACCTTTGTTTTAGCATGTTGGGAGAGCAAGGACACGGTCAAAGAACTGACGTGTCTTACATGGATAAGATGTTCCCAGTACCCTGGCTGTAGAGACTCAACAAGATGGTCAAAGGTTTCTGTTGACGCCACCGATATCTAAACTTAGGTATAAGAACTGCCTCGATGTGTTGGGGGCAGAAGGAGGTTCTTGACAGTCTACTGACCACGTAGCTGTTGTACCCTTTTTCCCTTGCAAGGAAATAAACGAAGAAAAGACATACTTGACTCAGAGCCTTTGTTTCTTACTAAACGATTGTCTGTGCAAATTCTTCCACCACTTTGGTGTCAGAAGTGGGATCGTTTGAAGCTACGTCGGGACTCCGAGGATCCTGAAGGGGCCCCTTCAGGATCCACGTCATTCTGCCCTATACCTCATCACACTCAGAGAGAGGGGACCGGCGACCAAAAGAGACCTGATTGGCTTCAACACGATCCGATGAGGAAGATTTTGTGTCATATGTGTCATATGTCTGTGTTACTCATGGAGAAGAAGAAGACACATTAATGAATATTAATTAATAGTTGATACCATGATACGACTTGAATGAGATGGGCTACTCTGTCCCAAAAAATATATGTAAAAGCTCTCATTGTCAGGCGGTTCTAACTAACAGTTTGTACTCATCAACTATAAAAGTACTAAAGCAAAATGACAATTTATTTCATCCTTGATTCTGATAAGTAACTTAACAATGTTACTGAACCTCCTTCATAAAGAGAAAACATACTTATTCTACCCAACAAAAGATCTATTATTAACCCAAAACACCATCTACAAAAATATTGAGAAATAACCTGCAACGTATCACACAAACCTTTGTATACAAGAAAGTTCAACATTTACATCAACAGGAATGTGAAACTAACAGATGAGGTTGTAGAGGGACTCAGTGCTGTGTGTCTGTGCTGGTTGCCGTGGGAACAATAACATCATCCTCCCTTTGAAACAACAAGTTGTCCTTCTGGAGGCAGCCATGACATCTGTTTCCCCTTGTTTACGATCCGTATGCTAATTACTCCTGACCCCATGTCCGAACTTCCAGGAGAATGATATAAACCTTCTCATCTCACTCCCAGACAACAATACACACACACACCATCCTCAGCAACAACGCTCAGCCTATAATGAGTCAACAAACCAATAAGCATCTTCTAAAACCACGAAAAAGCTGTTCCTTTTATATTTAACCCACAATATAAATGGAGTAACAGTTGATGTAAAAATCTGCCCATGTGAAACATTTTCTCAATGGGCCTGACGTGCGAGTGTCCTCCACAGGCAGGAATGTTCAGAACAAGCAGCCACACAAGAGGGATTTATGCAGGAACAACATGTATCTTCTCACTTGTTGATGTCCTCCCTGTATAGACACGTAGACACAGGGGGACTGATTACAGGCTTTGTACAGTCTGTGCCCTCAAACTGCAGACAAATATCAGACAGGTAAAAAACTGATGTTCCTGTCACAAGTCTGAACTGTTAAGTGGAGGATGCGTTACACATTACTGGACTGACAAGTTACACTTTACGGGAAGAAAAATTACAAACTGTATCAGAAAATACAGTTTGTACTTCTCTTCCTGCCGTCTGTGTCAGTCAATTACATGTTTCATAGAAAATATATTTTGAATTATAATTACTTTTCTAAATTGAGTGGCTTCACAGTGTGTCGTGTAACCACCCCATCACTCTCACCGTCAGTGACTTCCACATAACTCGAAACCATGCACGTCCACTGCCACTGAACTAGATTTGAAACACATTTGGAAATGTTGTGATCCATAACTAAATACAAAGAGGAGTTTTTTTTCATTTAAGACTTTTCACCTCTCCGTGAAGTTGATCGGTGTACGACCAACAAACACAACTGGTTTCTGAGGGTCCTCATAAGATCTGGAACGTGAAGAAGGAGGGACGATGCTGCTCAGCACAGCATGTGGAATAGTGATTCTCAAGGGTTATTTAGTTAGTTGATGTGTTCCCAGGTTTAGAATACGGTTTAGATTTTTTTTTACATCATTGTAATTATGTTGTTTAAAGTTAATTACGTCAGGATGTTGAGAGAGGAGCAACAACAACTGCTTCTTATTACGTGTTTGATGTTTTTTTTTCTCCATATTTGACTCTGTGATGTCTTTTTCAGTGGGTATTTTCAAAGTAATACATATTATAATTAGCTTGTGTAGTGCTGCAAAACATCCCTAATTTAATATGTTCTCTGGTATATTGCCAATGACTGAACAATGTGGAAAACAGTGAGTCTCTTAGGGGCTTTATATTCTGTCTGCAAGGTCGGCTGTTGCCTGTAATGAATCACTTGTCCCACAAGATGAGGCTGTTTCATTCAAAAGACATTACCAAGAGCCTTTTGCTCAACTTGCTGGCTTTTGGGTTATGGATGTATTATTACTTTCTATATTTGACTTAAGGGAACATACAGGATGTTATGTAATGATCCGAGCAGGTTTTAGTCATTCGAGCAATTATAAATAACTTAAGAACTCAATGGTCAATGTTACTTGCTAACACAGTATGTGACATGTGAAAAGTATGCAGTATGATTTGAGGTTGGTTGGAGCAGTGACTTGCTGGTGTATTTGTCAGCCCTGTGAGGCGGGGGACTTAAAATCTAATAAAAAATAAGATACATTTTTAAAAAAAGGTACGGAGTCTAGTTGCGGAGTCTAGGTCTCCATAAAAACAGGTTCCTTTTCGCCAGAGGAAGACCAGCATGGATCACAAGACTTAAAAGCGTGGTTTAAAAGGAGGATTTTATTATTAACTAAAAACCCATAAATAACTACAATTGTATTAAAAGTCCAGCTGGAACAAAGTGCTAAAAAAAGATTAAGAATTCGACCAGCCACTGCTGCTGATCCGTCCTGCCCTTTCTTCTAGTTTCTGGTTCCGTTCCTTTCCTGAGTGAGGTGTCCAGTCCGTCTCGTTCCTCTCTTCGTTTGCACCCCGTCTGCTCGTCCGCTGTCTTGCCGTCCTCTCGCTTGATTTCACTGTGGCTTCTGCTCTCCTGTGGCTTCTCCTTCTGCATGTGCAAATGCAAAACCAAACCACGCTAAAGTATAACAAACCAATAATTTACAGAAACCACAATGTCCCCCTGGTGACATATTTGTCTTTCACATGATTATTTCAGTCACTGCTTGTGTTGTGGCCTTTAAGGGACCGCGTGGAGGATTTGGTGGCAGCTTGCAATCAGCTGAATCCTTTCCATCAGTGCAGTAACTTGAGCTGTCTACACTACTTTAAGATCAACAATGTTTAATCGTCCATCCATCTTCAACCGCTTATCCGGGGTCGGGTTGCGCGGGCAACAGCTCCAGCAGGGGACCCCAAGCTTCCCTTTCCCGGGCCACATCTACCAGCTCTGACTGGGGGATCCCAAGGCGTTCCCATGCAGGCCAGTGCAGAGATATAATCTCTCCACCTAGTCCTGGGTCTTCCCCGGGGCCTCTTCCCAGCTGGCCGTGCCTGGAACACCTCCCTAGGGAAGCGCCCGGGTGGCATCCTCACCAGATGCCCAAACCACCTCAACTGGCTCCTTTCGACTCAAAGGAGCAGCGGCTCTACTCCTCGCTCCTCGCGAATGTTTAATCGTAGTACCATAAATTATAACCTAAACATAAAATCTGCTGATGGAAAGTTAATGATTTGACAAAATATGACACTTATTTTATAACGTAATTTAGATTCCTTTATTTTCCTTAAGAAGAAACAAACATGACTGTTATATAAAACACACACTCTTGCAGATCCTGTAGATCCAGGCCAACAAAGATGCAGGCTGCTTCATGCAGAAGGGAAACTGTTTTTGTTGTTGTTGAATATGTAAATGTGCTTGTTGTAACAAGGTCACCAAAAGTAAATGCCCCAAAGTATCATACCTCCTTTCTACGGTAAACGTGCCCGAGCCACAGATTTGTTAATGTAAAGTTACCGCTACACTTTTCTTAAATTGAGCAATTCTTTTTCAGAATCAGGCAGCTATTTTGACTTATAGTAGCGAGCCCTCTTTTTTCACACTAGCCTCGCTGCCTCTTATGTTGACCTTTCATGAGGAAACATCTATGGTGATAAGCGATAGTTGCAGGTGGGATTTTCTCCCGCTTGTGTCGCCACCCTGCAAACGCAACAACTTGTTGATGGGATGCAGCGATGCGTCTGCAGCGGGGACGTGGTTGGTTAGTTGTCTCCTCGGTTTTCTGTGACGGGAACATTTGTGGTAAAGCCCTCGGTAAAATCCAGAGTCACGCATCCTGGTGACGTCCCGGGAACGGCCGTGGCCCGTGTTGCTGCCGGGGGCGTTGACGCATCCACAGTTGGCTCGTCTGAAATCGTTGTGTCTGGTTCAGAAGTGAACGTGCTCCCATCTGGTGTAGTGACCTCGGCAGACTCCTCTGAAGACCGACTCTCTGAGGATTCGCTGGATTCGGAGGAAGAGTCCGAGGACTGATTGGACTCCGATGACGAGTCACGAGGCCGCCAAGAAAACCAATGCCGGCTTGGCCGTCCCCGTGTCGAGTCTTTGCCAGCAATGTTGGTACCATGATGTCGACGCCGGCCCAATCTGTGGAGTAAATGTCCAATGAATGAGATATTACACTCTGAGGCCCACGCATAAAAACAGTAGAAAACGGATGTATATGTGATGGCTCTGCAGAGGTCACGTGTTCTTTATGGTATAAGCAAGGCCGGATGTGAATGTTGTTTGTCCTCTAGCATACGCAGGGGAATTGTCTCAGTATGTAACACTTAACTGCAATATAAAGAGACCAGTCTGTGAATATTCATCTTGATAAAATACTACAGTTTGACTGCAGCAAAACACAGTGAGGAATCCGAGTCAGTCAGTATGAGAAAGAGAGCGGTGAGGGACGAGGAGGAGGAGGAGGAGGAGGAGGAGGGGAGATTCAACTTTCTGGTTAGCTCACCGGCTTAGTGGATGCAATTGTAGACAAAAGAACAAAGAGGAGGGCGGTTGTCAAAACCTTCATCTCTAATCCGGTTCCTGTCAGCGAAAGAGGAAAGCCACAAACAAAAACACATTAACTTACACACAACCAGGAGCAAGGCACTGTCACAGGCTTCATAACCAGATTCACACTGTTCAATAATAATAAATCCCATATTTATCCCATAATAAGTAATAATAAACCAATAATCTATCCATTGAGAACATATTTTCTCAAAAGGCAAAAACTCACATAGTTCGTGAGAAGTTGCTCACAAATTCATAAAGCAAAGGCAAATTGAAACAAAATTGAAATACAATGAAAATACAAATTCAATTTGAATTGGAAAGAGCTAAATAAACTCACCAGTGGCTCGTAAAGCTGCTTCCTTCTTACTTCTGTAAAATCGTAGATAAAACCGGCACCTGTGATCGCTGTCTTGTCTCAGAGTGGATCGATGTCTGACCTCCATGTGAGACTGGCAGCTGCTCATATATATGCTGCCAGGGCGGCGCTTGGTCGGGTTGTGGCAGACGGGGGGGGGTTAAGCAACACTGGGCAGCAAGCTGGAATGGAGTGCTTGCATAATGAATGCATGAATCAGCGGAATTTTTATTTGTCATGTTTTGACTCTTTTGAGGTGTGTACAAAATAATGTCTATCCCTAATCCAACACTATATTCCTGCTTTAAACAGTCTTCCCTGAATGTTTAATGACAGTTAAGCAACCTAAAGACCTGGCAGGACTTCATCCAACCTCCCCCTTTTCCTGCCTTTCTTCAAAGGTAATATCATAACGAGGTGCCACAATGTTCACAGACATGGGATATTGTCTCGTCTTCATCGACGTCGGGTTCGGCTTCCTCATTATTTCTGTTGTAACTGAGAAATGCCGAATGGAAACAGAAGTCTGATTGAGATGATGGAGACACAATCCAACGGCTGATGGAAGGTTGCGCAGTCAGTGGAATGTTTCAGTGGAGTCACAGTGTGGCCACACTTTGATCAGACCTGCCTGTGTGTGTGGATGTGTGTGTATGTGTGTGTTCAGCACCACCTTGTTATCTCATCACTCTGAAACCTCCGCCCATCTCCGTATTCCCCTCTCGTCTCCTCGTGAGAGCACCTCAGGGTGAGTCATTTAACGCTCACAAATGACTCGTTCACCCGAGGTTTTGGACTGTTGTTCAGACAAAACTAAATAACCCAAGGCTTCTGGGAATTTAGGATTTATTTTTAAGCCAAGTTAGCGGCATCGCTTTAGAGATGCCAGTGTTGTTGGATTGCTACGACATTTTGAAGTGACATCTGCTCCCCCCAGGGGGTGAATCCCAATACGTTTTCCATCTTGGGCCAAGACGAGGTCGACACTTTGGGCTTAAAAAATACAAAGAGAGAAAAAAGATGACTGTGTTTTTTACCAGCAGCACAAGACACATCTTGTACTCACTCGGGAAACCGCTCTGACGTTCTAACCACATTGATTAATCTTCATCAAGCGTCATTCAAGGGGAAAACCTGCTCAATTATTACTGTCATCCAACCAAAGCCTCTAGTCAGGATAAGCACGGGTCAGTGCTCGTCGGCATGAACATCTCCTGGAAGTCGGACGGCCAACACAGAAAAGTTCTGCTCGGGCTCAATAGCTTTTGGAAAAGAGGCCCTGAAAACCTTGACAATTATAGAATTGAGGTGAGGTTGTAGTTTTACTGTAGTTTACAGTAAATGTCTCCCCCTCGCACACTCTCCCATTTTGAGATTCTGTTTTCACAAATGCTGCCTGTCATTTGAAGACATCTTGTTCTTGCTTTCATTAGATTAACTAAAGTTAAAATGAATTATACCGTGGCTGATTGTCAGCAACCACGTAATGTTTTCCGCACAATAAGGCGCATAAGATACTGCAGTCTTTGGCTCACTGTCAAAATTCGAGAGCGCAAATCGATGAGCAAAAGTCCGTCTCGCGCGAGATATTTGCTCGCTTGCGAGACGTGAACTTCGTAGCTCGCGAGGTCAATCTCTGCTCGCGCTCGAAGGAGTTTTCTACGCGCTCGCTGTTGTTCTTTCTGACAGTAAGGGGGCGGAGCCAGTCCCCATGGTCTCTACACCTGATTGGTTACAAACCCCGTCTTTGGATTGGCTGGAGTGATGCATTCACACAACTATAGAAGCCCATTTCCGCACTGAAGAAAGGGGATAGAAAGTCGAAATTATGAGATAAAACGTTGTCAAAAAACAAACGCCCCCCTTCGGTAATCGTAGTGGACCGTAGATGACAACCAGCTACAACCATCATTTACCATCATTACCGGCACATTGCGTGGAGACGGTGCTTTCAGGGTCTGATCGATGCCATCCACGCTTAAAATCTTCGAGAAAATTAAAGGCTTTTAAGTGCGCCTTGGAGTGCGGAAAACGCGGTATATTTACTTTAATACTACAGGAGGGCGCCCCGTTTGACAACGACAGGCGGACAAGAGCAGCCGTTTCAAGCGAGAGCCTTATTGTTTTATTAATCTGTTCGTTTAAATTGAATGTACTTCATCAATTAATGTTTCACATAACTAATGTGCCGCAGCATGAATATTTTTATATTAATTTCAAACTTTTCAAAATTGAAAATTAAAAACTTTTTTTTATTGTAAATGACATCTCGCGGCCCACCTGCAGTACCTTCGCGGCCCACACTTTGGGATGTGCTAAATAAGAGGAGAAATCTTCAAGAGCTTTTTCTAATTTTGCACACAACCTTGTAAATGGAAAGAGATTATTGATTAGCAGACAGCAGAAAGCAGTCTCGTACTAAATGTCTCACTATTTATCTCTTCTAATCTGCCTCGGGGCGTGGTCCAGGTCTCGTAAAGGCAAAAAAAAAGACTTGAGGGAAAGATTCTGTTCTTGGTTAAATACTTTAAATGTAAATCAAGGGAGGAACCTGGACCTCTCATGTAACAATGACAGAATAATTTACTCAGTAACGGCTGCACACCTTAAAACTGAGGTTAAGTGAGTATTTTAAAAAGCCACAATTCCAATTTTAACGTTGGCTTACTGGAATTGTTTTTTTTACGTCTGATGAGTGTTTGACTGACCGCTCTTCCCCTCAGACCCGATCAAAGGCGCCACCTGGTGGCCGAAGCCGCGCAGCAGCACGTTCACAAACACCATTGACATTATATATATATATATATATATATATATAAAAATGTTCTCACTGCATCTTAAAAATCATCTCATGTATCTTATATACTTCCTTCGGTTTGGAGCTTATCAGACAGGCAGTGTTATTTTTATCCGACCTTAAAATCTTACCTAATGACGTGAAATTGTAAAAAAAAAAGAAAAATGAACGGTTCTTCCGTGTAAATGAAACCACAAAAGTTTCTGTTCTTGTAGACGTTTCCCGTGTGTGCAGAAATACTGTGTGTGTGTGTGTGTGTGTGTGTGTGTGTGTATACGTGTTTTAAAAGGGATCCAACCAGAGATAAAATATATCGCCTTTCATAAATGCTTCCTGTGTGGTTCCAAATAAAATTGGTACAAGTTTCTAGAACCTTTTTGTACATAACACGATTTCTAATTCAAGTGTATTATTCAGGTGTTGCCTTATGACCAAATATCCTCAATCCTCTATTGGCAAAAGCCTCAGCTGTACGTTTTATTGCTCGACAATTTGCCTATTTTACAATACCACCACACCTCACCGACATGGTAAAACACAGTAAACATCCTGCCTGCTAAAAGGCAGCATGCTTGCATTGTCATTGTTAGCATGTTAGCGTGTCACATCATCTCTTAAGCTCAAAGCCCCACTGCGTCAGAGCTGCCTGACGGCACACACATATGTTGTGTGAGGCGCCTCTATTTTACTACGATGCAGGTCAGGTGAGGAGCGACAGAGGAAGAGGCTGCTTCCTGTATCGCTTCTTCCTTTGTGTAACGAGGGCAGTGAATTAACCGAAGAATGAAACATCTGATTATTGACTCCACTTCCAACGTCCTCGTCAGTATTTTCATTGAGTGTCACAGCCAGCTTGTGCCTTGTTCTTATTCCTCTTGTCCTGCTTCTCTTGTTATCAATCAGGAAGAAGATACAATACACAGTATATGACAGAATTTGACTCTGTGTCTAATAAAACCTGTCAGCAACAGAAACAGAACATACTGACGCCCTGTTAAAGAACTGGGCAGTCATTGTGGTTTATATTGTTTTACTTTTTGTAATGGCCCAAAAATCATTTTAAAAACACACACACACACCTTCAGTGGACAAAAGGCCTAAAACAACTGTTTTAAAATATGCAGTAATACTTCAGGTAAATTACTGAGTGTGACTGAATGCGAAAGACTTATTTTGACACGATTGTGTTTGTACTTGTTATTTAAAGCAAAGTATCTGATCACAGAATTTTTAACCTGATATTGAAACATTAAGGGAGTGTTAAACTGTAACGCAAGTTACAAATAAAAGAACCTAACTGGTGGTTCCCCTTCTCTGCCGAGGTTAATCAGTCAATGGATGTCCAGTCACAGCGCAGTGCAGTTCTAGCAGGCCAAATGACATCCTGCATAACTTATTTTAATAGGTCAACTAAATGACAGAGCAAGAGTTTAGGAAGAACTGTTTTAGAATCAACGGAGTTGGAGAAAAAAAAACGGGGGTTTCACAAAACCGAAGGTGAAAGCTTCTGTGGTTTGAAGCGGGAGAAGAGAAGAGCAGCGTGGGCCGGAGAGGAGGACGTCATAGGAAACTGTTTGAGAAAGAGGAAGAATAGAAGTTGTCATGATGGGAAGGCTGTGACGGCAGCCCTGTTATTACCGCTTCCACTAATAATTGTTCTACGGCCCGTTGAGGACCTTTAGAGGAAGCTTTAGTATCAATGACAGTCGCACACGCTGTGTTGTCACATCATGCTATCTACCACTGCGTCTGTCTCATTTAAAAGCTATCATGTGTTTTGGGGTATTAACTTAATGTGTAGTCCCTTCTGCTTTGTGTTTGGTTGAAGTACACAAGATACAATTGGACAAATGTGGGCATAAAGAAATTGCCACCTGCAGATGTTCTTGTAAATAATCAGTTTTTGGTATGAAGAATGTTCTTAGTCCATCCACCAGTTTGACTGCTGCTGCAAAGTATGTACTTTAATTCCTATTGCTGACAGCAGGCATTCACATGTGAAACATGAACGTTTTGTACATTGTTTCTTAAAAAAGTGGTTTGAGATTGGAATGTCACCCTTTTTACTTTCGACATTTGTCGACATGTTTCAGCATTGATTTTGTCCAAAGCAAACAATATCAGTTTTTAATTCTTTATATTACTCAACATAGAGCCTATTTGTTTTCTTTCGATGTGTACGTCATATTATTACGTTAATACAATACAATTATATAGACGTGAATATTTAAAAATAAAAAATGTTTTTAGAAAAATCTCATTTCCCCTACAAACAAAGTGGGGCATGTGGGGCCTAAACAGAATTCAACTTCAGCCCATGGATGTGCTGCAACGCTAACAGGCTGAAATGAACTAACTGTTACCAGCTTTAACCTAATTTTAACCATGACAATCCATCTTAATTTAGCATTTAGGATGCTAATGTTACGCAGTTAGCACTCAACACAAAGAACAGCTCAAGTTGCTGGAAATAGGGCATTAACATTAATACATTATAATGTTCTAATGGTTCTAGATGAAGAAGATTTAGAAAAGTAAATTGAAAATGCAAACGATCCAGTCTAAAGAATCAATAAAAAATATTTAAAATATTAAACATTTACCTCAAAGCCACACATGTCAATCCAATTTTCGCCCTGGAGGAAATCCTCCGCTCACCATGCATGCATGTCTGCACAAAACATAATGGTATGATCCCATATCTTTGTTATTGAGACGTTTGAGTCTCCACCACAAAGGTAGACCAGGAGACCGACGTGTACATCCCTCTCATCGTCATCATGTACATGTGAGCTTCTCTTTGACACAATCATCCCAATTTTCAAATTTCAAATTTCAATCGAATCGGCAACCATGAATCGTGATTCGAATCGAATCGTTGTTAAAAATGAATCGTTACACCCCTAATATATATATATATATATATATATATATTATTCCTATCTCTATCCTCAATACAAACTATGATAGCCAGGCATCATCATCCTTTTTAGCGCCTCCTAAAGCAAATGTGTAACTCTTCGTGTCCTTAAATCTAAGAGAATATGTTTAACCAGGACATTTATTGACGCGTACAGTCTGACCTTTGAACTCTGGTCGGCTACATTCCGGTTAATATCTGAAAGTTTTTCAGACAGAAACCATTTCCCGGTTTAATTAAGGAAGATGTTTCTTAATTGCCCTTAAGGAACAATCCATGGTATGAAAAAAAGAATGTCCATCTTCTCTTTCTCAGACTGATGACCACGCTTGTATCCACTGTGATTTAACCTTTTAGTCCGTGTAGAGCCTTTGTTTCAAAATGCCTGTCTTTCTATGTTTACTCGACTTACAGCAATAATACAAATGAGGGCACTTTAACAAAGATCAATAGCAACATTGGATTTGCTTCTGCACCACGAAGCAGCAGGTTGCAGGTCACAGTAATGGCTGTATGACGGCTGTCCGCGTTCAGCAGTCACTTAAGGAGTCGGCGGTTCGATGGTCATACGCCGGGTTGGGGAAGTTGTCCAAAATGTTTCGCTCGTTGTTGTCCAGAAGTTGGCCGTAGGATCTATGTCTAGAATGGAGAGGAAGTAGGGACATTTTTACATTCCCACAAAATGTCATTAACAAAAATGTGTCAGTGGAATAGTAGCAGATTTGTTTTGGCTCTGGACTCACCGGCTCTTGTGGCAGTAAATCCCAACCGAAACTGGTACAACACTTGCTATGGACAGAAAAACAATCACTGCGATGATTCCTGGAGAGAAAAACACAAAGACAGTAAGGATCATAAGAGCCATTGATTGTAAAAAAAATGTTTTGGTTCTGTAAAAACAGTTTGAAGGACCTTCACACGTTGCTTCCACCGTTACACAATTCTGCATATTGCAAAACACTGCAAAGATCTCTGTCAGCTCCTGTGTTTCACCTTTTGGATGAAGGCTGCTGTGTTATTTGCCGATGAATCCGATGCCAAATCGCAAACACACGCACACACACATAAAAAACATAAAAAATAACACACATAAAAATAACTACTTCATTTAGACTGGGATTTTGGGGTTTATGGTTTTACAAGGTCTGACTTTAAAAATCATCCAAACACACCTCACCGTTACCCGACTGGTCTAACTCATGCAGTACGGGCTGTCCAACGTGTGACTACCCTGCACCTGACACAATATATCATGACCATCATTGAGATAAGTTATTTATGAGCGGACCACGCTGACCTTTGAGCCAAAATACCAATTAGTAATCTCGCTGACGGTAAACTTAGCCGAGCATATTGCTGCGGGCACTGACGCCCAGAAAATAAATTCCGATTGCTGTCAAAATCTCTGGTTCGGAGATTTTGACTGTCATGGTTCAGGCAAGAGACCGTAGTAGCTCATCTCCCTCAATTTCCTATTAAAAAATAAAATGCACAGAAAGAATGATTAGAGAAACCATAAGTTACACATGTAGAAACCAGCTGCTCAGTTTCTTGTTTTCTAACATTGTAGAACCTTTATGTTTGTTGTGTAACTACGGTAACATTAGCCAATTAGCACTCAAAACAAAGTACAACAGAGGCTGATGGGAATGTCGGAAAATTAGGCAGGTATTTGGCATTGTGCCAATGTAATGAAAAAAGTAGTAGACGGGGAAGTTTTCTTATTAAAGCAAGTTACGGGTATCATTTGATTCCATCTGATACTGAAGGGAACGCGGATATCTGCACCAGACTTAATGGAAACCATCAATAGTTGTTGAGAAATTTTGTTTAAAAAAAAGAAAAAACCTTAACCTCACTGTGGCACCGGAGAAAAAAAGTCAGGATATCAAAGTCCTGTAACTCTTACAGAAAACGTTTGCACTTTTCCTTCTAGTTGGAGGAACAACGTTCTTAATGGAGTTCCTAGTCCCTGACAGGTCTGTGCTCTGGGGGTGGGCACTAAACCATGACAACTGTCTAACTTGTCTCAGTAATAGGAAATAAAATGGAAACTTTCAATTTGGGACCTCTGGTTTTGCTAAAACACGTAACTGCAAATTCCACATTTAGTATATTAAGTATCTCTGGCCACTGGGCGACTCGGATGACCTCACACTTTTAATTGGACACCTAGCAAAAAAACAGCTCAAAAACACTTCCCTGCAGGCACGCTATAAAAGTCCGATCAGCATTAACAGATTCAAGAGTTACTGATTAAACTGTGTTAAAATAGCATACACCCATAACAGTATTAAGAATGAAGACATCCTGAGACGTGTCTCTGCAATGACGGAATGACATTAAATGACGTTTTGCGACCTTTTCCTTTGTTCAGCTCATTCAACTAGTGAAGACTCCACTCCAAACTAAACAAGGAAGTCTGGGAGTAAAGTGTGGTGCTAAAATATTAACGACGAATCGGCACATTGCTTGAAGGTTGATCAGATTCAAGGCCTCTGTTGGTTTACAGCGGCACGTTGCTTTGTTTGTTCTTTGTTTTTTTTTTCCACAGTTCTAACCCTTTAAGCACCAGCCTCTTTTATGTTCCTCTTACATCAGGAACAAGTGTTTGCGTGAGATGACATGAGTGAGTTTACTGGCAATATGTTTTGACTATGCTATTATAAAAAATGGATAGGCACCCTGGGCATTTGAGCCCAACTAAAAAGGCTCCAAGCAGTTATAAATATAATCAGATGTTCAGATACAAAAAGTATTGAATTATGATGCTCCATAATTACTGCATACTTTTACTGTGCAGCAACACAAGTTCCACTTTTAATAATGAAGTTTTACGTTAAAAATATTTGTAATTTTTTTGACAACAGCCAACGTTCAAGAAGTTAAAGAGCATTTGTATAGAGCCTGGAAATCATAGAATGAGCCACAGAAAAGCACATCTGGGGTTTTTGTGCTCAGAAACATCAGTAACCATTGAATGGATTGCCATGAATTATTCTACATCTATTCAAGATCCCTAAAGGTTGAATTATGGTCAAAGTTCTCGGTAAAATATATTTATGATGTTGTTTATCTACCTGATGAAAAATGTTCCCCTTGTGCTACCAGATGAAATACTGCTGTAATTAAAATATCTAAACAGCTACCAGATTGATTCCTGTGAAAATCGGAAAGGACATGGGTGGGGCCCACAGACGGCAGTAACAGCGATCCGCTGACCCATCAGCGCAATTACCCCAATTGTCCAATAATTAAAGCTTATAAGTCCCACCTACTTTGTGTTCGAATATAAAATATTAGCATTTTTGTTGCTTCATACCTGAACTCAGAGCCGGCTTATGTTCTCCTTGTCCCAGTGGGGTGGTGGTAGCGTTGGTGCTGATAGTGGTGGTGCTGCTGCTGGTTGTTCCGCTGTCTTGGTTGGTGATGGAGCCGGTTGTTTGTGCTGTGCTGGGGAGACTGGTGCTGATATTGGTGGTGGGACTGATGTTGGTGGTGGGACTGCTGCTGGTACTGATGTTGGGACTTCTGCTGGTACTGATGTTGGTGGTGGGACTGCTGCTGGTACTGATGTTGGTGGTGGGACTGCTGCTGGTACTGATGTTGGTGGTGGGACTACTACTGGTACTGATGATGGTGGTGGGACTACTACTGGTACTGATGTTGGTGGTGGGACTGCTGCTGGTGTCCTGGATGTCAGTTGTGATGGATGAGGAAGACAATGAAAAGGCTGTGGTTTGTGTCACTGATGAAATTGTCGGATTTGTGGCGTTTGTTGGCTGAGTGCTGGTGGTAGTTTGGATGGAAGTTGTATTCATGAGGGGCAGAGTTGTGCTGGGGGAGTTTGACACTGTCGGATGTGTAGTTGATGAACTTAAGGTTGTAGTAGGCCTCAATGGCGTTGTTGGTAGTGATCCTGTTAACTCTGCCACTGCACCACAGAACAGTAGACCTGCAGATGCATAGGACAGATATTATTGTAGGTATCACAGTCACCACTTTGTATAATTTACACATTACGGTCGGTTTACTGGATGAATAAAAAAGAAAGCTACGATGTTATGTCATGGAAGATGTCATGATGACGTCATGGAGGGGAATTCCTGGGTCACGTAAAGAGCCCTTTTAATCAGAAAGACGTGCAATGTTCCAATGTCCACAAAGGGTTGTCCATGAACTGCACTAAATAAAGTATAATAACAAAACACTTATCACAAATTGAACATACTGTCAAAAAACGTAAACATTCACTCAGCCACTAAATTATTAATTAATCCACTGCTGAACAACAAATGCACTATTCCTCCTTTTTTTTGCTAATTGATAAAAGTCAGGAAATTACTTGTTGTGTGATGGACTCGTACATTTGTTTCCATTTAGAATAATATTGAATAATGGCAGCCTTAAGCACTTCACAGCCTGTTAGGGTATTTCACCAGTTAGGACTTTAACCCACAGTTTACCAACTTTCAACTCAAATAAGCCAGTTAAAAGTCATGGCAGAATCATGAGAATCAGAGAACCCCGTCCTTCCTTCGCAGGAGAGGCAAAGTGTTTCAATGAAAAGTAAGTTGGGCAAAGATCATGTATCATGCATTCAAGGTGTCCCTGTCTTCTTAATGCTCTAGTTGTCACTTTCTTTAAGAAAGATTAGAGAGAACGGCACAACAAACTGCTAAATAAATAACCGCATTATTTCCTGACTGAAATTGATTCAACTCGAAACATCATCCTGTGGTCTAAGAGCTCCATGACTCCCTCCAGGTTTCATATCTCCACATAGAGAGCCAGCTTGTGATTTTAACTGCGTTGTATTAAATGTCTTTTTCAAACCAATGACAAAAATCAAATTCGGAGGGACTTTTTAATGATTTAGAACTGTTTACAAAGCACCAAATAGTAAGAGGGACATTTTTACAATGCAGTGGTACGTCTGCATTCCCTCCTCCTCTCGCAGCAAATTTTGCTTAAATAATAAATAATCTCAATACTTCAGAAGTGATCTTCCACATATTCTGACTTGCTCAAAACCAAACCAAGTCTAGTACATAAAAATAGAAAGAGGAATCAGATGTTTAGTTCTAGCCACTGAATCAAGCATCAGATATGTTTACTTACATGATATGACAACCTGCAGGCCGCCCCTCATTGTGTCTCTTTTTACTGACACCTGCGTAGCTGCAGCTCTGTGCACTCTGAGCGTGGATCTGGAGTGGGTGGCTGCCAGTGACAGGAGGTGACTTATTACAAGAGCCTGGAGGCGAGGCTACGTGACGACTGAGTCACACACAGAAAGAAAGAAAAAAGAGGCGGTCTGTTTGTGGGCTTTAGTGGCATCTAGTGGGGAGACTGCAGACTGCATTCCCCTTTGCACATCCGTCTTTTTACAAAAGGTTTCCGAGAACTAATAGTGGCTTTTGGTTGGATCAGAAAGCCACTGAAAGTACTGATGAGCTTATTGCGCTTAATAGTATTCAAAATCGTTTATTCACTAATATTCCTTTACATGATTATAATGTAATTTACTGCAAAGTGTGTGCAGGATTTACGTATTAATATTAATTAATTAATTAATTAATATTCATTCCTTTCCTCACCCATCAGTGTAATATCTCCAAAATAAATCTGTATCTGCATTTAAGTATATATTCTAATATTTCAATTACACACCATCTAATCTATAAGGAAATATGTTGGAAAGAATAGCTTCCTAGTTCCGTGTGCGTAAAGTACAGTAAAATTATAATTTTTTTCCTAACAGTCTGCAATTGATGTGTATATACTATATATATATATATATATATATATATACGAAATTACAAAGTGTCTTTGAATAATATATATACACTGCATGGCAGAGTTTACTTACATGCTTGCAGGTTTGCGGTCCTCATCACTCTGTACAACCCCAAACTGTAGCCTTCTTGTGCTGGATGCTTTCCTGTGTTGTGTGCTTCCTGTTGATAGCAGTAGCGTGTTGGGTTGTTTGTAACTGTGGCTGACTGATTAAGAGGCCAACACAACGGAAGTGAACTGATCATGTCACGTCCAGATGGAATGTCAGACAGAACTTGTAAAAATGTGCTGAGAATGTGAAATGGGTGCGATTTGGCCTTCACCCCTGACAAAGACACACAAAGGATCCCTGAAGTTGTCTTTACCTTTTACCCAGAACATATTTTATTGACAAACACACAATATTGTGATTCAAGAGAAATCTTCATTGTACGGTATTTCCAATAATTGTCCCTCCATATGAGCAAAACCATGTCTTTTCATCTCTCTCTATTCCTTTCAGAGTGTGCAGAGAGAATGTCAGTGCTCCCAAAACTAGGTCTTACAATGTCCTCAAAGTCACCTACACTTGATAATGATATTGTTCAGTCTTACTCATCTGTCAATCAATACAAGTTCATTATTTCTGTTGCTTAGGAAGGTCATTCTACAATCCAGAGACCCTGGTTTTAATGGCCTTGTCTCTATATTCTGGACAGGAAGCATAATCATAGATAGGATGTATTCATGGAGACTTAGAGGTCTGCAGGGAGGATCACATCATGTAATTCCTTAAAGTCTTTTGATACTTGATTGATACACGGATACAAATTTGACAATTGGTTTCCTGAGACGTGAGAAAAGGGAGGAGGGAACCGTCTACGTGAGGGGAGGTAAAAAATAAAAAAAAGGCGAGTTACCACCTCAAGGTTAATGAATAATGAATACATTTTAATTGGGTAAAAAAACGAAACTGAACTAAATACCGCACCCGGGGGTCAAAGTCAAGGTGATTGAGGGAGTTCCAGGCTTCATTAGCTCAAAGACAGCCGCTTGTGCAGAGATTGACTTGAAGATTAATGGGATGTAGATTTTTTTTTTTACATGTTTTACATGCTTGGTGGGTGGCAAGAAATGAATTAATTGTGAGTTACGCTCATGCGTTCAACGGACAGAATAATCAATGACATGTTCATGTTGAGAGACTTAAACTGCTGCCGAGACCCGAGTAAAGGATATAAGGAGAAAAAAAAGACACGTTACCACTTTAAAGTTAACAAATGACGGATGAGGCATAACTTTATTTATTTGAATATAGTTTTGAGTGATATATTTCACATGATTGAAGTTGGGGCCTTCCTGAATAGGAATTTAAATTACATTTGAAATAAAATAAAAAAAACATTTGAAGGAATATATTTACTTATTTAATTTGATAGTTTTAAATACAGATATTTAGCAAGTAACTGTAATTGTTTCTTCAATTAATCATTTTTGATGGGTTACTGATTACAATGACATCATTTAACCAATCTGCCCAACATTGATGGAACACCAGTGGGCTGAAGATGGAGCCTTGGTGAATACCACAAGAGAGAATATAACATATGAGTCGTGCTCTGCAATAAACAAGAGGCCGTGGTCAGTGACAAGGCGCAACATGCAATGCGGACGCCCTGTCGATGTCTGCTAATTCCAGAGAACTTGAATCGAAATCACATGGACCGCCTCTAAGAATTATTTTGAATAAATTGTTTAGTTTGAAAAAGATCAGGAAATTGTAAAAAGTCTACATCAGTTTCTTGCCAGTTTTAGATTTTTGTTTTTAGATTAAACGTTTGTTGTTAATAGTTTTTGTTGTTGTTATGAACTGTAGTTCCCATTGTGAGCCAGAAGAGAGCAGCATGTTCATGTATGATGGAAGATCAGAGATGCCGCGACAAAGGAAATTCCTTATCGCTTTTGGGTGAAATAGAGAAATGTCTGAATGTACAAGTCTATAGCAAAGGTCTGCCAGCATCATGGAGGAAAAGTATATCAAACTATTACTGGATGGCTTTTAAAAAATTCATATTCTCCGGCAGTTTCTTTTCATGAATTTTATAGAGCTGAAGTTACCGGTTACCAGTTAACGCATAGAACGTGTGTTACTGTTCGGACAGTCAATTTTGACTGAGGCACTTTACGAAAAGTGCCAATCTGGTACAATCTTTAATGTGGCTGAACTGCAACCGAGATTACCAAATAATTAAGAAAGAAATTCAACATTTTTGAAGACGGCCTGCGCTAAAATCGTTGAAGGCACAGTATATTGTTAACAATGTGTGGGTAGCAGTGAGGTCTAAATAGACGTCAGTGGGAGAAGGGAATAATGGGCTCCTCTTGCAGTGACCTCGCTGTGACGAGCTCCCTCTGCTCCTGAATGATTGCCTAATTAATCGGCCTGGCTGCTGATGGCCCTGAATCCGTTTGCAAAACAAATGAGGGGGGCTGCCGTGCCACCGAAACCTCTGTGGGGAAGGAAGGGAAGTAAAGGAAGAGCTTGCATGAATGAATAACAAGATCCATACTTCTCTAATATATGAGGAATAACTTTTCGGGCTTCTGGGGCATGATGACAAGGACTCTGTTGCATTAATATTTTACAAGCAGAGAGAAGCAGCTGGTGGAGTTTAGTGTTCCTGCAGCGCAGTTTGACCCGGGGACATTTTGGTTCGTTTGGGGGTTAAATGAGCAGCCACATTACAACCTATAAAAAGAGCTTTTAGCTTCAGGCAGCAAAAAAAAATGGTGTTGTGGTTGGAACATTCAAAGAGGGTAAAACATTAAAGGGATTTTTCAGGGGCCACTTCATCGATATAATAATGGGGGTAATTATCACTCAAGTGGAGAAAGGGCTGAAATTTAAATGGTCTGTTTGTTTGAGTCTGGAGATCACCAACCAATAGATTAAGTCCCAAATGTAGGCGACTGTTTCCATGTGTACACGTCTGTGTGTGTGTGTGTGTGTGTGTGTGGCACAGTGTCTTGTAAATAGTAAAAAAGTAAAACCAATATCATCCTACAGATGAAATGTTGTGAAACATCAGAAATGTCTCTTAATATCTTCCATTCATCTGTTGAAATTCAGAATGTGATTATGATTTACTGAAGGTGACTCATATGCACACAAACATGTGAATAAGGAGACTATACTTAACAGACCGTCAAATGCAAAGTGTTTTCACAGTCAATCAAGGCTTTAGTTGTTTTCTTTGAATTTCCAAAATCCTCCAATGCCAACATTCTCTTCTTGCACATAAAGGTCCTTCTTACGATCCCTTTATTTAGTGAGAACGCTGCCGTTCACTGGTGCAAGCGACAGAGTGAGTGCTGGATCCGTGGTTTCTTTCGATGTTTGCGGTATAAATGAATAATTTCCAAAGCCACATCAAGAAAATAAAGATTGATGGAAAGTGAAAGACAACTCAAGACATCAGAACCATCAAGTAATTTGTGCACATTTGTGTGTGTGTGTGTGTGTGTGTGTGTGATTGCATCCAAACGCCAGTTGTGTTATGAAATATTCATTTGCGATATGTAATCTGGCCTCTGGCAAACATGCAGCAGTTATTTCCGTCATTGGTCATTCAAGTCATGTGCTTTTTGCTGTACATTTCCGCCCCGTAAAAACTATTCCCCTTCCTGACTTCCTCTTGACTTCGCAAAGTAAGGAAGCATCATATGTTAATGGCAGGAATAAAATAAAGAGCCTTTTATGAAAGTTAAGCTAAAGATAAAACAATATGGAGAATAAACTACATTTCCATTCCAGGCTATAGGAACATTGAATCCAATGAAAAAAGGCCACACTGGGTACAGGTCTGCCTCTGTGTAAACGATTAGATCATACAGCTGCTCCCCGATGCAGCGGTCCCAGCTCTGAACATCTGGAAAAGGCCCGGCTGTAGCGCCGCTCATTGTACAGACGAGTCAGCTCATCGCCTCGTGCTCTCTGTTCCGGTTCTGGCAATTGCCCGAATTTAATGAGCCATTGACCTTTCAGAGCATCATTTTACACAGGCAGTCTACTGCTAAGTCATAATCCACACCGCCTTCCACATTGTGTGATTTGCATTTATATTGACAGGCAAAATATGTGGATTGATGCCATGGTGGTTGCCGTGGCTGCAGTCAGATAAAATGACATATTGGATCATCTGGGCGCCATTTGGTCTCGCCAGCAGACCAGAGGACATTTTTCATGCTGTCTAACACATCGTTCTGATGAAGTCCCAAAGGCCGTCGTTAAAATCGAGGTCGATACCGATACTCAATCAATATCTTCTGGGAGAAGAAAAAAGAGAGCAGAGCTTACAGTCTAGTTTTAATCAATGACAGTAACAATAGTCCAAATTCTAATGTGAATAAAAAGTGACAATGTCAAAGAGGTCGCTCATTGCCTGCTGAGAATTATCTCCAGATTCTCTTCTCGGCTTTGCAGAGTTTCACTGAGCTTCAGCTTATTGGTTATTTTGACTTAAGCCAAGAAAAGCCTGGACAGGAGCTACCGAACACCTGCTGCCTGGCAGACACGGTTAGATACTAGCTGTGTGAAGTGGAGCATTTGGAAACGAAAAAGAAAGATATTTTCCTCAGAAGTTGGAGACTAAAAAAAAAGGAAAATGTTGGACCTACATTCCCCGATGGCGGCCTGTCTTTTGCTTCTAAAACCTTTTGCAGCTGTCTTTGAAAAGTAGGAGTACGGTCGCATGCAGTATGGATCCACTTCAGACATCACAATCTCTTAACGTTGCACCTTGACTTCTGACCTCTTGGTCACGTGTTTGCTTCGCAGCGTAATGTCGGTCAGAGTAGCAAGAAAAGCACTTGACACACTTTAGTAGTGGTACACCTTTAATCTGGTATACTAAAGGTGGGGGTCTTGGAAAGGTTATGAGTACAATTATCTGTGAACAGGACTCCAGCTGGGTGGTGTTGGAGGATGTGGGCGGAACAAAGAAATGTGTTTACTTCAGTAAACATACAAAACAACAGCATATTTTGGTATTTGTTGCTATGTGATAATCCTTTTAATGCGCTACTTTATTCCTGTCTTTTACTTATTTAAATTTAAAGACAAACCTGCTGCACTGTTGGAAAATGCTAAGCTATTGTTTACCATTAAAATG